TAATAATAATGATAATAAGAGTATTATTATCCCGCCTTTCCTCACAGCATGGGCCAAAGGCGTTCATACTAACACCATACAAATTCATCATGTGCGGACATTTTGACAGCAATATTCTTTCAAACAATGAAAAAAATGCTCATACCAAAAGGCAAGGTACTGTCCATGAATTAAACTATTTCTTAAATAGATGTGTTTTGAGATTTAGATTCACTCTGGACGTCATGTACACAAAAGGGACCGCAATTGTACAGGAGTTAGTTCGTTTTAGTAGAGGTTTTACGGCGCTCTCAACTGCATAAGGTCACATGAGCGCCAGAAGATTAGAGGTGTTACAAGAGAGTAACAACATAAAAAAAGAAGAAGGGGGGATAAGGACGATAGATATTTGATAGGAAAGAAGAAGCAAACCACACCAGAGCACCCGCCAACCACCCGTTTATATATATATGTATAAGCGGTAAACGATGCCGACAGCACGCAGGAACTCAACACTAGCCCGGGGGTCCTTAAAAAGTGCTGAAAGTGGGTTACTGAAATGTCCCAGCAGAAATCTTTGAACATATATTATATGTCCCCACATTTTACTCACACACAAACTGGTTACATAAGCCCTCACTCCATTCTTCGTGGCGGAGTAGACAGGGGTCGGGAAAGCGTCCCCTATACCTGTCAAATAAACAAACACACAACAGCATACTATACAATACGCTTAGGTCACACTGTCGCAAGCAATACACTTAAGTCCAAATGTAGAGAACTTTCAATAGTAACACCCCCACCCTCCCTAAAGCTCTATCGAAGATACACCTTTTGGGGGCGTCGGTGGCCTAGTGGTTAGGCTCATCATCATCATCATCATCATCATCATCATCATCATCATCATCATCATCATCCAGTGCCAGATCTGCGACAGACATCGGCGATCATGGTGTTAAAATGAGTTACTTTCCGAATTCTGGCCTTATGGACACAGATAGATTAGATCTATATCAAAGTTATAGTTTGGGTAGGTATAATTGAGCATACGAACTGATAAAAGGCACACCTCACGGTGTTTTCGGATCCTCCCCTGGCCAGCCAGCCTCGAGGAGCTACACAACCAAACACTCAGGCTATAAAGGAAGAGGAAGGCCACGCAAAAGGTGGATCGAGGGTGTCAAGGAAATCCTAAGAAAACATAACAGCACAACTGAAAGCAAGAGCTGCGGAGCTGGCCTACCATAGAAAACTGCATCTCCCCTCGACGCTTAACGGCAACAGAGGATGGAAAAGTAAAAAAAAAAAAGCAAGTAACGGATAAAAATGCATAAAACTTGAAGAAAAATGTTTCAGTTTAGAATTTACGAATTTGATGAGTCTATTATCAGCCTTCATCTCCATTCGTGGATCTTGAGAAGGAACCCATTTTGTCAGCGTTTGTTTGTTTATTTATCCAATTTGCTGTTTGTTGTTTGTTTGTAAAAAACAATGCCCTGCTCACCTATAAAAAAGAACAAATTGTAGAAGACAATGCCCTGCTCACCTATAAAAAAGAACAAATTGTAGAAGACAATGCCCTGCTCACCTATAAAAAAGAACAAATTGTAGAAGACAATGCCCTAGTTAGTTTAGTTTTAGTAGAGGTTTTACGGCGCTCGCAACTGCATAAGGTCATATGAGCACCAGAAGATTAGAGGTGTTACAAGAGAGTAACAAACATAAAAAAAGAAGGAGGGGAGACAAGGACGATAGATGTTTGATAGGAAAGAAGAAACAAACCACACCAGAGCACCCGCCAACCACCCACAGACAATGCACCGCTCACCTACAACAGACAGAGTACAAATAACACGTCCTCCCTTTCCGCCCTTGTCTTTCCTCATGTGGTCCGCGGCCAGTTTTGTGCCAACGATCACAGCAGTCTGAAATATTATAAATATAATATTATGATATGTTAGATGTCTCGCTTGGTTCGGGCTTCACCGTCATCATCGTCGTCATTATCGTCATCATCATCTTCATCATCACTATCATCATCATTATCATCATCATCATCATCACCATCATCATCATCATCATCATCATCATCATCATCATCATCATCATCATCATCAAAAAGTAGATGAAATCTTGTGTATTTCTAAACTGCTAGGACATAATATTAAAAAATACACAACTGTTCACCTCTCATCATTATCATCATCATCATCATCACCATCATCATCATCACCATCATCATCATCATCATCATCATCATCATCATCAACACCACCACCACCATCATCATCATCAACAAACTAACCAGGTTGACAGCTATCACCCGTTGCCAGCCGGGTCCCTCGTTCACTATACCAGCATTGTTCACCAAAATGTCCAGATGACCCAAATGTTCTACTGCACTCTGGAAGACAGCTGGGGATTAAAAATTTTATTTTTTAAATAAAAAAATAAAAT